TCATTTTGTATTTTGCTTTGTGTGTTACCTGTTGTTCTGTCTGTACAGCACTTTGGTTAGCCTTGTCGCTGTTTTAAGTGCTCTATAAATAAAATGGTATTGTATGGTATTATTGCATCATACTCGGATGTTTTAAGCCTTGCCTCCAGTCCGTTACACTCACTGTACTGTCTGGTGCTGGGAAAGCATCTTTTATGGACGCTCTCCTGTTGTTCAGTTCACGTTTCACAGAACGTCTTCGGATGATTCCCTGGTCTGTCTCTGGAGCTGTTGGCTGAAGTTTATGTGTGAAAGCTGTTTATAGAAGACAAAAACTTTGTTGCACACAACTCAGTGTTCTGCATATTCTGCCCCTCACTCCCACACACTTCTGTCTGTAAAGATCCTTACTGCCAAACTGATTAAATTTGTGTTTCTCTCAGGTTTCTTACAACGCGTGAGCGTGTGTGTGTTTAATGCAGTCGTATTTGCTTCTGTGTGTGTGTTTCTGCTGTCACAGTGTTATTACACTGCATGGCTGAACTGCAGCACCGTGGACTAAAACAATTAGTGACTGAAGAGTCTGTCGTTTGATGCACGTCACTGTGGAAAGGTGACTCTGAGATCTTTTTTTATTTGACAAACGTACAAAAGAATGTTGATTTTATTTCATAAAGAATGAGCAGAAAGCATGACTCAGATCTGAATGGCATGTGTTTTTCACACACCTTTACCTTGGAGAAAGCGGTGATTTGTCCTGACCGAGGTCATAATTTAAAGCTCTGACACTCTGTGATAACAGGTTACTGCTGCATCAAGTGGGCGATTAGAAGCTCAACCTTAAGTTGCACCTTGCAAATGATACAGTATAAGTGCACATGTCTGTAAACGTTAGCAGAGAGGTGTGTTAAATACCTATTAACGTGCACGATTGCTGCCGTGTCTAAACTGATCTTTAGTGGTTTATTATTAGATTTTAAGTCGTCTTTAGATCACGGAGCTGTTGAAAACCTTGAGTTGACTGGAATTTAAGAATTGTTATTATTCAGCTAGAGCAGCCATTCACTTTTCATTTTGATCATTTTATAGTCTGTTGTTGTTTTATCTAATTTGTATGTATTCTATGCAATCAAATCTTTTATGGACCAGTAAAATGGTTTACATTTGCCGGTAATGCAATTTAAAACCATAACTTGTGCTTTGCCTTTCTAAAAAGTTGTCTTTTCTCTTCTCGTGTCCCAGTTAACCTTTATTTCATTGTGACATTATATAGTAGGGGAAAAACCCTCTAAAAATTTTAATTTTTCTTTACACACGTTATCCTGCTTCATGATTTTTCCTTCTTGGTGAGAAGTCCAAGGAAACACAACACGGCCCTTTTCCACACCATTTGTGTGTTAGTTGTGATTTTTACCATCAAACTGTGGACTGTGATGTTATTTAGTTAAAAAAGTGAAAAAGTCAGATGAAGCTAAGTTATTTCTCTACATTATTAAACTTGGATTAAGTAAAGTAAATATCATGTTCGCCTATCCAAGGAATCAAGCCTTCCTTGAAGGAATGTACATCACCCACCGCCTCACATGCCAAACTTTAATCTAAGATCTCAGATCCATTTGAGCTCAGAATATGTGATGGAGGTGACTGTCAGGTACTACCACACCAAACTTTAGCTTCATATTTGTAAAATTGACTAGATTTTAGCCATTTTTGTGTTTGATAAGCTTGATTCGCTGTGGGGGCCATCTTGAATCAGATGTACTACAAAACATTTCAGTTGTAGAGGTTCATCTAGTGATTTCTACTGGAGAGTTTTATTAAGATCTGTTTAGTGGTTCATGAGATATTTTGCTAATTGATAGACAAATGAGCACGCTGACTCACACACAGGCAGTTATATCATTGCCCGTCATTTGTGGCAGCAGCTTAAAAGATGCTGGTTAAGACAGAAAGATCTTGATCAAAACACGTTCCTTTTTCTTTGTTTTTCCTCTCTCTGACTGTTTGGGTAGCTCAAGCAAAGGTCCTATCTGATCTGGCCTTGATTCCAGTGTAGCGTCCGGTAAAGTCTCCTAACAGTCTTGTCCTTGTTGTCTGTCATTTGTTTCACAGATCAGCCGCTGCCTGAAACCCGGAGGCCGTTTCGTCTCCATCACCTTCGCCCAGCCCTTCTTCAGGAAACGCCTGTACGCTCGCAGCGTGTACAACTGGTCGATCAAACAGCACAGCTACGGAGAAGGCTTCCAGTACTTCCTGTTTGTGATGACCAAAGGAGAGGAGCTGAGCCCAGAAGATGCAGTTCTGGAAAATAAGCTACTGGAGGAACCCAAACCCTCTTCTGCCATTGCTGCCACCACACAAAATGAAGATCAGGAGGACTTCCTGTCTAATATTGGCTTATAAAGTGACTGGAATATGGAAAGTAATCTCAGGAGTATGTCATCTTCAAGAGTACCTTTAGAAACAGGAGCTATATTGACATAATCTTACTTCTCAACATTTCTACACAATAATGTTCCAAATTTACTGTTAACATTTTTATTTTTTTTATGTCTGAGGCTTCCTTTATACTATCAATGTGTTTTTACTATTGCAATTTTATAACAAAATGTCAGTGTTGATCAGGATACATGTTTGATTAACCTGATTATAACATTTTAAGACATTTAGTTATTTAAATATTCCAATCATTTAAAGATTGCTCAGAATTTAATGGCTGTTTGAGTCATTAAGGTGAGGAAGTGGAAAAAGTCCCCACAGACAGAAAGGCACAGGGTGAAGAAATCATAAATGACTAACTAAATAAATGACACTGTGTAAAAGCTATGTGTTAGTATTTCTTTTATGGTAATAATCTCCAGTACGTTGACAGTCAGAAACGCAGAGGTGTCTTCATATTTGTTCCGCTGAACACAAATCTTTGTTTTCAGCCTGTTGGTTGCTGCTGACGGGTTGTTTTTTCCCTCACCGTGAAGAAATGTGACAATAATAACGCTCAGGTCGGAGAAAGTGGAGGAAAACAGCAGTCGACAAGCAGTGAGCCAGATTAGGTTAACTATGACTCATAGTGCTTCCCCTCCTGACTGTGGCACAGCTTTCTGTCTGCACTACTGTTAGCTGTTCTGCTAATGTCCTTTTGTACACATTTACTGAAATGAAGTATATGAGGGCAGATGAGCAGAAGGTGTGTAGTTAGTCAGCTTCAGGCAGTTTGTAAGATTTGTCTAGGTGTGCATGTTAAGTCACTGTTTAAGTCTTTCAGTATGTCTGACAATGTTTCCACGTTGGAGTCTGCTTCAGATTCCAGCTAAGCTGCTAATAACGACACGCCGTGTTTCACACTCCTGTCAGACAACGTTTCTCCCCCTACGATCCCACCCCGCGTGTTATTTGTAGAGAACACTGGATATGAGGCTCAGGTCCTGAGCTTTGTGCTCCCAGAGAGCCGTGCGTGCAGACGGGCAGGAAGACTTCTGACTGGAGGGGAACCTTATTAATAAAGTAGAAATCATTTATTTTTAATTCTCCACTGAGATCTAATTACTGCCTATTTTTATAACTTGGAGGGGGAGAAAGTGTGTGATTTTTCAGATGGCTTTGCTGCCTTTGCACAGTTTTCTTCTGGAGCAACGAGATACTTTGGTCAATTTTAACTTTAATATCAACAAAACAGACTTATCACATAGGGTGTGTGTGTGTGTGTGTGTTAGCTTGGTTTAGAGTTTTCCATCATTTAATGAAAACTAAAACGGCTCAAACCAGTTTATTTTCCAGCTCCACATTCTTCATCCTCTGATGAACCGTACAGAAACAAAACAACATTTGAACTTTAGGATTCATAAAAAAATGCTCAGCTTTGTTTTAACAGCTTGGTTTAGTGTTAAAATCTTTTTTTACTTGTTTAATTTCAGCATTTATTGGAGATATTGGTTTAATTCTGACCTAATTGATAACAGTTGATCAGAGCAGGACCAAGACCAAAGTGGATTGTCTGCACCAGTCTATGCAAATCCTATTTTATACATTTTGACCGTGCTGTTAGTTTCACAGCATTATTGTTTTATCACAACTAGCTGCTGCTGTTGCTATTAAATCCTAAATTTAAATTTCCTAAATCCTGTTGCTATTAATACCTAAAATCCACAAACAAGGTGTACCTTTAAGACCAATCGTTAGTATGATTAACTCTGTCACTTACAATGTTTCAAAATATCTGGCGTCTGTACTCATCCCTTTAGTTGGCAGCTCAGAACACCACATACAGAACACCATGGACTTTGTGGATAAGGTGAGGGATGTCATCATGGAGACTGATGAAACAATGGTCTCTTTTGATGTCACATCACTCT